CGCTGAGGCGAGAGCCACATTGTGAAATTCACCCGCTTTTCATCCGTGAAACTCGTGCAAGGCTTGAAAACTAATGTGCGCGGCACGAAAGTGAGACTAGAACAACAATTTGAAAGCCACCCGCCCTCCATCCGTGAAGCTCTTGCAAACTTTTAATTTCGAATGTGCGCAGCGCGATGGCGAGAGCAGCATTTCGAAAAGGAGCCTCCTTCCATCAACGAAACCATTGAGCTCTTTGCAAACGTATGTGCGTGGCGCAACGGCGAGAATCACATTCTGAAATCCACCCGCCCTCTATCCGTGAAGCTCTTTGCAATTTTAAACACGAACCTGCGCGGCGTGAAGACGAGAACCAGATTTTTGTATTCGAACAACCCTCGATCCGTGAAGCTCTTGCAGACTTTGGCGACGAATGTGCGCGGCGCAAAGACGAGAACCACATTTTGAAGACCACCCACCCTACCAGGGCTCGTTTCGATTCCTCCGATTCGATTCGATTCGATTTCGATGGTTTTAAATTCCGATTCGATTCGACTTCGGATTCCGATTTGGGCTCCGATTTCTTATTGGGGGCACACTAGCCTGCCGATTTCCGCCGATTCGACTTCTCCCGACTCGGCTGCCGATTTCCGCCGATCCGACTCATTTCGATCGCCGATCCGACTTATCGATTCGACTCTGGGCTCTTCTGCCCTACATCCATGAAGGTGCTGCAGTTTATAAACTTCAAGATCCGGTGAACAAGTCGCGGGCGACGCGCCCGGCCCGCCCCACGAGCAGGTCTCGGGGGTGTGGCAGGGAGGAGTCATCTAGAGGAAATGTCGAGGAGGAGGAGGAGGAGGAGGAGGAGGAGGAGGCAGGGGGAGGGACAGAACGGCGGAGGAGGGGTGAGGGTCGAGGAGGGAGGGAGGGTAACGAGTGGGCTAATGTGCAGCACGCAGGGGGGTCTGGGAGGCGGGGACTGCTGTTATATTTCGAAGTCCCCGCGGCGATTCGCCAAACAGTGGTCTTCAGACGTCCATTGTGGTCCCCCCCTCTCTTCCCCACCGTCCCACCCATTTCCTGCCTTGCTCCCTCCTTCCCCCCTCTCCCCCTTCCGTCCCTCTCCCTCACCCACTCCCGCCCCATGGCACGTCCCCTGGCACGTTCCCTGGCGCGCCCCTTGGGACGTTCTGCGGCGCGTCCCCTGGGCATGTCCCCCTGGCATCGCCCAGCTGCGGATCCTTAGAAACGGTTCCATGCCTCGCAGTTCTCATTCCTTCGAAACGGTTCCATGCCCTGCATATGCAATTGCATATCCTTAGAAACGGTTCTGTGCCTCGCAGTTCTCAATCCCTTTCCGGGCTCGTGGGTCGACCATGCTGCGGCACCGTGGGGCCTTTCGGGGATGTTTCGGGGGCCTCCGGGGCCCTCTTGGGCTGCTCCCCGGACTCTTCGGAGGCCCCTGGGGCCTCGGGCCCCCTGGGGGGCTTTTTGGGGCCTCTCGGGGCCTCGACACTTCTTGGAGTTATTGTTTTTCGACAGGGATGGTGGGGGGGCGCATCGGGTTGGCTGCGCTTGCTCCGAATTTGGAGAGAGTGTGTTTTGTAATGTTTTTTGTCAGGGATGGTGGGTGGGTGCGATCATGGTGGTCGGCGTTGTTCCTGGCTGGCTGCCGGTCGCCTGGGGGAGGGGGGTGTATATCAATAGGGAACAGTAATAAACCCTTGCCCCGAGCAGGGGAAGGAGGGATCTTAGCAGAAAGAAGACACGAGTTCGTTAAACCACCTGCGCCTAGAGGGCTGGTGGGTTTCATCTCAATTCCACTTGGCTTCATTCGGCATCATCCAGCTTAGCCCCAGGCTTAATCTGGGCGAATCTGGCTCCATGGCCCCTCCATCGGGCCCAACACCTCTTATTAATCGTTCCCACAACGACCTCTCAGAAGTTGCCTCCTGGTGTATGGGGATGCCGACAGGTACCGATACCGCTACTCCCCAGACCTCTCCAGGGGTGCGTTCTGACCAGAACTTGGAGGCGATTCCAGCCGTGGCGACGACGGCCTCCCAGGAGGCCAACAAAAAGGGGGAAAACGAGGGAAGGGCAGCGGTATGGGTGCCTTGTCCTCTTCCGAGTGTAGCATGTAGGAGTAGGGTCGGGATCGGTTCGTTCGGTTCTCCTCGCGCTGGTCGAGCACGTCACCAGGCTGCCCTTCTGCCGTTTGGGGGGGAGGGGGGCGCCGCAGCGGAGCCCCCTCGCCTCGGTGCCACAGCCTCGGGTGCGGTTCGAAGGGCTGGCGGGAACGTCGCCTGGCAGCTGTCCGGGGGGCCGCTTCCTGACTACTTCTGTCTGGCGCGGGGGCCAAATAGTTCGAAGACCAAAAACGTCACAAGCATAAACTTTTGGCGTTTCGCGTGGATTTCTTGGATCGGCGCTGGGCTTCCCCGGCGGCGTTTCCGGCGCGGGTTCAGCGCGGATCCAGCGGTTTCAGCGCGGATCCAAGAAATCCGCGCGGATTGCCAAAAGTTTCTGTTGACGCCGTGTTGTTTTTTTCTAATGGCCCAAACCTCCCAAATCTGCGCCGCATCACCGATGCATCGGCGATGCGGCTCGATGCGGCGCCCGAGTTCCGCCACGCCGACGGCGCCGATGCATCAGCGACAGACGCGACCCTCCGACCCCATCCGCTTGGCCCGTTTTGGGGAGGCCTCCTAAACGAGGTCGCCTGGTTGCTCTTTTTCAGCGGACAAGCAGCACCGCAGCCATTTGGCTCGGGCTCGCCACTGGGCCAGGCGCGCCGGCGGAAGCGGCCCACCATGGACTCGCCAAGTTGCGAGAGCCACTTCCTTGGCACGGTGGGGCTGATCCCGAGGTCCTCCCCCCACCTCTTCCGGGGGTACGAGAACGACACTCCCTGCGAAGGCGGCGGCGGCGACGTCAGGAGGCCAGACTTCGCGTTCAGCCCTGGCGGCGACTCGGCCTCGGACGACGGCACCGTGTCGCCCCCATCGCCCACGACCGCCCGCGGCGCGCTCCCGCGCGAGCCCGCCGGCGCCTCGGACCCCGTCGTGGACGACCTGGCGCTCACCTTCGCGCCGCCCGCCCGCCCGGGCGCCTCCTCGGCGAGGCCGCCGCGCGAGCAGCTCCCCGCGGCGGGCGCGGGCGCGGGCGAGGGCGGGGCCGAGGAGGGCTGGGGCGGCGGGTGCCCCGGCAGCGCGGCCTTCGGAGCACCCGAGCCGCAGCTGCGGGACCCGCTCTCCGGCGCTGGCGCCGACGACGGCGCGGCCTGGGGCTCTGCTGGCGGCTCTGGCGGCGCCGCCCCCGAGGCCTGGGGGCCTCGGCCGCAGTGCTCGTCGGGCCAGGCGGCCGCCCGAGGCGAGGCCGAGGACTGGGGCAGCGGCGCGAGCCGCGCGGCCTCTGGGGCGGCCTCGGATGGCCTCCATCTGCAGGGCGCGGCCGGGGCCTGGGGCAGCGGCTCCAGCCGCGGGGCCTTCGTGGCCTCGGGGCAGCCGCCGCAGGACCCGTTCTCGGGCTGCGGCCCCGACAGCGCCGCAGGCGGCTGGGGCAGCGGCTCCAGCCGCGCGGCCTTCGAGGAGGAGCCGCGGGACCCGCCGTCGGGCCTTGCGCCCGATGGCGTCGCAGAGGGCTGGGGTAGCGGCTCCGGCCGTGCAGGCTTTGGGGTCTCAGAGCAGCAGCCGCGGGACCCGTTCTTGGGCCCCAGCCACAGTCTCGTGGACGGCTGGGGCAGCGGCTCCTCCCAGGGTCCCCCCAGGCAGCAGCTGCGCGACCCCTTTGCGCGGCCGCCGCCTGGCCAGGAAGGCGCGTGGGCGGCGAGCGGCAACCCGCGGGAATATGCAGAGGTTCCCGCCACCGTCCGCGTCGTGCCAGGGCAGGCGCCCGCACCCGCCCCGCCCCTGGTGTCGGCCTATGGCGTGCTGGAGAGCTCCGGGAATTATTTCAAGCCGCTGCTCCGCCAGCAGGCGCAGGCTGGCGCGGGCTGCGAGCTCCCCGCCGCGGCCCAGCCAGCGGTTCCGTTCCCAGACGCGGCGGACGCGGCGCTGAGGCGCAAGTTGGCTGGGCACGGGAACGAGGTGGCCTTGCTGCAGGCGCGCGCCGAGAGGCTGGGCGACGCGATGGCGCAGAAGGCCTCGGTGGCCGAGCTCCGCCAGCTGCTCGAGGAGGCCTCCTCGCTGCAGAAGCGGCTGCTGCTGCTGGATGACGCAGCCCTGCGCTCTGCGGGCTGGCCGGTGGAGCAGCTGGCCGCCGTGCGGTGCGCGCTGGAGCGAGTGGACAGCTGGGACGCCCTGCTCGAGGAGGTCAGGTCACAGGTGAACTCGGCCAAGATCGTGGCCGCCGCGTGTGTGGAGTTGCTGGAGCGCGTCACAAAATCGTGGCACGCGCTGCAGCGGCCCCCCGCAGGGGTGCGAAGCGCCGACCTGGGTCTCGAGAAGCGCGCCGCCGCTGCTGGGCCGCTGGTGTCGGCGCTGGCGGACCGTCTGGCCACGGAGGGAGCGCGCTGCGGAGACAGCGTAGCCCTCAGGCGCTTCATCGCGCTCGTCAACGCGCCCGCGTCGCGGCAGGTGCTCCAGCGCGAGCTCTGTGTCGAGTTGCCCACCGCCGCCGCTCTGCGGGATCTTGCGGGAGTCGTGCGCGCCGCTCAGGGGGAGCCGGCGAGCGGCAAGGAGGCGCCGCAGAGGGCGCCGAAGGAGGCGCTGAAAGAGGCACCGAGGGACGGCGGCAGGCGCTCGTCTGGTGGCGGTGGCCTCAGGGTCACGTTCGGCGAGGGGGAGCCCGCCCCGGCGGCTGGGGAGAGGCCGCCGGCGAGAGAGGTGGCGCCGAGCGCGCTGGTGCAGGCCGTGGTGAGTGGCGAGGTGGGCAGGGTGGAGTCGCTGCTCGAGCAGGGTGCGGTCAAGTCTGGCTGCGCGCGAGATGGCCACGGCCACACCGTCTTCTGGCACGCCGTGGCGCGGGAGTGCCCGGAGGTCGCCCTGCTCCTCCTGCGCCGCTTCCCCCCGCAGGGCGCAGGCGGGGTCGACGCCTGCGAGGTGCACCCCCAGCGCGGGGACACCCTGCTGCACCTCCTCTGCGGCAGCGCGCGCTTCGACGGGCGGACGCAGGAGGTCTTCGTGGCCCTCCTGCCGCGGGTGCCCGCGCGCCTCTGCGCCACCGCCAACGCCGCCGGCCAGAGCTTTCTGCACGTGGCGGCCGCGCGGCTCAACTCGGGGGACGAACAATGATATGAACATAAAAACTCGGAGGTCCGCGCGGATTTCTCGGATCGGTGCTCGACCCTCCCTCCCTGGCGCGCTCCGCGCGCCAGGGGCGGCGCCAGCGCCGATCCGAGAAGTCCGCGCGGACCGCCGAGTTTTTATGTTCATGTCTTTGTTCGTTCCCCTACCAACTGCTGGGCGCTGGACCACGCCCTGTCCGCCGTGCCCGCCCTGGCACCCCTGTGCCTGCGGCCGGACCGCGGCGGGGCCACGCCGCTGACGCTGCTGGCGCGGCACCTGCGGCAGCGGCTCGGGGAGGCGCCCGCCCTGGCCGCGGAGCCACCGCCCGCGGCGGAGTGGGCGGCCTGCCTGCGGAGGCGCCTGGGCGGCGAGCCCGCCGCGGCCGAGCCCGCGGACGTGGAGGTCGAGGTGCAGGACGCCGCGCTGGGGCGGCGGCGGCTCCCCTCGCGGCGCGCGGCGCTCGCGCTCGCGTCGCCGAGGTGGCGCGAGCAGCTGGCCGCGCAGCCCGCGGGAGGCGCTGGCGGCCCCGCTGTTCTGCGGGTGGAGCCCAAGTGCTGCAGCAGCGAGGCGGTCATGAGCGAGGCTGGGCCGGCCACGCCCGGGGGGGCCGGCTGTGGTCTTTGCCCCCCCCCCCCCCCCCTCCGGGGGGGGGCCCAACTCAGAGGATGAAGAGGTAGCGATGCCGCTGCTCGTCCTGGAGTGTCCTCGTCGCCAAGGCGGGACACTGCTCGGAGTTCTCGTCGGAGCGCGCCCCAGGAGTGGTCCGTGCAGCTGGGACATCGATCAATGTTCGTGGTCCCCCACCATCGGCTTCGGCACCCCCCTTGAGAGCTTGTCGAGGCGATCGTGCTCCCCCAGAGTCCCCAGCCACCACATCACCCCAACCCCACCCGAAGGCTCCAATTTGCCCTCTATTCCCAGTCTGGGGGGGGGGCGGCGGGGCTCATCGAAAAAACACATGTGGAACCCGTGCGTGCCCCCCAAACCCGAACTTTGGGTCTTCGGGTCAGGTCGGGGTGGTCTGGCAGGCAGTCGCAGAGAGCGGCACAGGGGGCGAGGGGGGCACACGCCGCCCCCCGCTGTGGCCCGGCCGGCGGCGAGGCCCTCCGCTTCCTCGCCGGCGGCGGCCTCGACAGGGGCGCGCTGGGGCAGGAGGGGCGCCTGCTGTGGCAGCTGCTGTGCCTCTGCGTGCAGTACCGCCTGCCGGAGGAGCTGCGCCGGAGGTGCGTCTGGGCGCTGCTGGCGGGGATGCGCAGGCCCGAGAACGCCGTGGTGGTGGCGCTGCTGCTGCGCGCCGCGGGGGCGTCGGGCCTCTCCGGCCCGGAGAGGCACCTCGTGCTGCAGCACTTCCTCTCGAGCCCCGAGGCCGCGCGGGCTGCCGGGGACGACCTGAGGCTCGGCAAGGCCTGCTTGGCCGCGGTGGCGGAGCTGGAGGGCCTGCTGACGGGTGGCGCCGCGAAGTGACTCCACCACCTGTTCTTGCTCCTTCCACTCCTCCACCTCCACCTCCACACTACCTCCACCCCTTCTAGTTATCGGAGGAGGCAATGGTGCCGATACTGTTGCTCGTTCTGGAGGGCCCTTGTCGCCGTGGCTGGGTTCAGAAAGCCCTCCCCAGGAGAGGTCCGTGGAGCAGTGTTAATGTCTGTATCGTATCTCTTGTCTCCCTCCTCCTTCCTGCTGCTGGCACATACTCGCCCCTTTCCTCCCAGGACCTTTTTGTAACTTTTTCAAGCACTCTACAGCCCCCATAAACTCCCTCCAACCTCCTCTCACTCATCCACCTCCATCTCCTCCTCCTCCTCTTCCTCCTCCTCCTCCTCCTCCTCCTCCTCCTCCTCCTCCTCCTCCTCCTCCCCCTCCTCCACCTCCCTGTCCTCCTCCTCCTCCTCCTCCTCCTCCTTCTCCTCCTCCTCCTCCTCCTCCTCCTTCTCCTTCCTGCTGCTGGCGGACCCTCACTTCCCTAAAGTTGAAAGACCCCCCCTAACAGCCTCCTTGGGTTCACTGCAACCTCCAGCGAGGCCCTCGCGCGTGGACACCCCAGACAGTTGACCAATAGGGTGCCCTAGGCAGTGTAGAGCACTGGTGCCGGCGACGGTCGGGGCCACGGGCGGCCAAAGCAATTCGGAAGCGGCGGATGACAGCACTGGGAGCGACGCCGTTGCGACGCCGTTGTTGTTGGCTTCTCGGTTTTTTCCAACCTCGGGATGCTGTCCTGCAGCTGCGCCTCGACGCGAGCGATCCTGGGGATCCCCGGATCTTCCTGAACAGCCATCAGAGACCCGAGTCATGACCCGAAGCCAGAGTGACCATTCAGGGCCCACTTCGATCTGATTCGATACCGATTCGATATATGCACAGAGTCTGAACGCCCTGATCCGACTCGGCTCTGATGTTTTGGCGATCCGATGCGGCCTGATGCTTGCATGGCGCCGTTCTGCGTCCTGTCGCGGCCGCTGCGATTCGATTCCAGCTCCGCGCCGATGCAGCCCGATCCGGCGCGCGTTCCGATCCGATCCGACCTCCCGATTCGATGCCGACTCATCCTGCCACGTGGAGCCGAGTCCGCGCCCCTTCCTCCAACGGCCCAGGTTTCTGAGCTGCTCTGTCATTGGCCCGGGCTCGGGGCATGGACCTGGCTGGCCCAGCTGGGCGCTGGTCCTGGTCAGCGCGTCCCCGGGGCGACCCCGCGCCCAGACCTCCGACAGTTCAACCAACTCGCGTGGGAGCCCCCCTTCCTCCCTGGAAAACCGTGTGAGCGAGGGAAGAAAACGAGGTCGTCTTCACCGACATTGGCGCGCAAACTGCCCGCGTAATGTCGCGCGTCAGCGCGCCCTCGTTTCCACTGTGGCGTGCTGCGCTGGCGGCCCGCGTGAGCCACCCCGTAGGGTCGCCGTGCCATCTCGCGTAGGACCCGTTTCTGATCTTCGCTCATGTGGGATGTCGGCTTCCACGCGGCCCGCTGGGCGTAAAACGTCCGGCGGATGGACAAAGGGGGGAGAAAGGAGAAAAATAATATTGCTGCTGCTGCTGCTGCTGCTGCTGCTGCTGCTGATGATGATGATGATGATGATGATGATGATGATGATGATGATGACGACGACGATGATGATGATGATGATGATGATGATGATGATGATGATGATGATGATGATGATGATGATGATGATGATGATGATGATGACGGTGGTGGTGGTGGTGGTGATGATGATGATGGGATAATAATCGTAGAGCATGAGTGTTGATGTGCACCGACAGTTTGGGGTGGGATCGTGGAATTTTCCTTGGAGCCTCGGAGCCCGCAGGGGCGTGCCAGCTTGTGGGGGGGCCTTTTCGCCGGTGGGCCACGTTCCCGGCCTGGCTCCCCTCGGCCCTCCAAAACGGGTGGGCTCGGTAGGTTTGGTTTTGGTTGCCCGTGAAGGCCCCCTGCCCTCGCGTGTGCTGCACGGCCTGCTCCGCAACCGTTTCATGTGGCTCCAATCTGGTACAGATTATCGCGAGGACTGGGCGCCCAGCCCACCTCGCAGCAGGGCGCGGCATGGCGCCCTGACGGGAGCAGCGGACTCCACCCGTGGAATCATAGATTGTGCGAGGCCGTGGCGCGCTGCCCAGGAGCAGCAGGCCGCGGCGAGCTGGTGTGCTGGACGCCGAGCGCCGCAGGCGCGACGACGCCAGGCAGCGCAGGATGGCGGTGTCGGCAGGAGCCAAAAAGGCGGGGACCGACGCGCTGCGGGCCGCTGGTGCTGACGTAACGGACGACGACGTCGCGAGCCTCGTCCTGAAGGTGAGGGCGACGCTGAACGCGGGGCGGGCCCCCCGTTCGAAGCTGGACGAGGCGAGACGACTGGAGGCAGCGCTGGACCCGGTGGCCATCCGCCTGGCGCTGGGGAACCCGGAGGTCCCGGGCTCTGAGATGGCCGAGGCCCTCTGGGGGTTCACTGAGGCCGCCACGTACGCCACGCAGGCGGAGAGCCGGATCAGGAGAGTGGCGGCCGACACCGATGGCTGGGAGAGGATCGCGGATCGGATCTGGGCCCGTGCAGTCGGCGACGACGGCGGCACGCTGCCCACCGACTGGCTGCTGCACCTGGGCATAGGGCTCCTCCTGTCCAGCCTGGTGGTGGTGCTTGGGGCCGACTCTGGGCGGCACCGCCTGGCAGGCGCAGCTGTGGGGCTGTGTGGCACCGTCCTGCTAGTACGGCGTGTGCCCGAGCGTGTGGCTGCCTAGTGGGCACGCTGGAGGCGGCGCTCGGCCTTCGCTGCGGCGCTGAGCAGCGGCGGGGACGGCCTGGACCTGACCGCCGCCGAGGACGACAGCGCGGCCTGGGACGCGAAGGGGGCCCCGACGACCAAGGGGGGTGGCGCGGGGGCCGCGGAGGTTCCTACTGGCCCGCTGCACCCCCCGGGGCTGGCAGCGCTGCCGCCGTCGCCGTGGGCCCCACCTGCCGAAGGCGTGGGCGCGGGCGCCCCGCCAGCCAAGCCCGGCTCGCAGGACCTGGCGGCGCTGCGGGCGTTCGGCCAGGGGTCCGAGGTGCCGGGCCCCTTCAGCCAGACGGCGGCCCTGCAGCAGCAGCAGCAGCAGCAGCCGCAGCCGAGCCCGGAGGTAGGCGTGCCAACGTCGGGGCTCAGCTTCCATGCGCCCTATGCTCCTGCAGACGCGGTGAAGCTAGGGCGCGAGGTCCAGATGGTGGGCGCCACGCTGCGCGAGTTCCAGGCGCAGGCGGCCACGAACGTGTACTGGGCCTGGCACTTCTGGGAGAGAATCGCGGCGGTGGATGGCTCCATGGGGCTGCACCCTGACCTCCGTCGCGTGCTGCAGACCCACGGCTACGTGGGCGCGGGAACGAAGTCCCCGCCAGGAGGATCGCTGCAGCAGGAGCTGGACGCGTTGCTCTCCTCCACCACAGCGCCGCACGGCGGGGGCATGCACGCCTCCCCTGGGTGGGCCGTGGCCCCGGTGACCCAGCAGCAGCAGGAGGACAGCCGATGGAACCTCAGCCTCCCGCCGGACCTGCGACGCGCGGCGCCGGAGATCTACCGCACCATGCGGGGCGCTGGGGCGGCTAGCGCTCGCGACTGGCTGTCGCAGGAAGTGACGGGCCAGCGACACACGGCAGTCTGGACCGACCTGTGGACTGCCGCCACCAACGTGGACTACTTGCTGGGCGGGTGCAGGACCCAGTCCGAGCTGCTCACCCGCCTGGCGTCCGACGATGCGCTGGAGCTGCACCTGAGGCGGTTGGCGAGCTACGTCTACGAGATGCGGACGAAGGACAAGGTGGGTGCGGCGGCCATGCTGGCCGTGCGCCCGCCCGGGTCGGCCGCCGACTTGGCTCCCACATGGCTGGTGACCGAGGCCACGACCCACAGCAAGGCCGAGCACCAGCGTGACGAGAGGGTCCACGCCGCCAGCAAGCGCGACAGCCGAGGCGGCGGCCGTGGCGGTGGTCACGGAGGAGGAGCTGGCGGCGGCGCCGAGGCGGCGGGCGGCGGCAGAGGCAGAGGTGGCGATGGCGGGGGGCGCGGCCGCGGCCGAGGGGGTAAGCCCTCGGGCCGGGGCAAGCCTCAGGCTTGACATCCACTGGCGGACCGAGGGGCTTGCGACCCGCCCTCGGTCCGAGAAGGTGCCCCGCGGCCGCGGGTGCAGCCTAGAATGCCAGTGACGGGTTTGCCTGGCTCGCTGACGCGGGCCCTGCAGTGGAAGGAGGCCGAGGCCAGGTCGTTCTTTCCAGTACCTCTACCTCAGCGGCCACAGCAAGGAGCTTCCTCTTCCGGCAGGTTGAGGACGCGCTGGGCTCGACGCATGCGTGTGTGGCGTCGGGCCTGTGGGCTCATCGAGCTCATGGACGGGATGGGCCGCGGATCCCTGGAGGCGAGACCAGCGGGCCAGCGTGAGCCGAGCAATGGCGACATGATGCTGGCCTGGCAGCTCGTGCAGCAGTATGCGTTACAGGACGCAGCGCGGTACGAGCGCGACTGCCGGGGGCTTGCCCCGACAGGCGGTCAAGGGGCGGATCTTGCCTGCGACCGAGGACCGCAGGATGCCTACACCGGAGAGCGCAAGGGTGTGAGCAGGCACGTGATGATGTGCGCCGCGGCGGTTGCAGAACCCCCCGACGACATGGTCGTGGACCTGCTGGAGGCGCTGCCTGACGGCGAGCGCCAGTACTACTCGGACGAGCTGAACGTTCTGGACTACAGCGGCAAGTCGGGGGTCCTTTTCGAGGAGCTGGAGGAGCGTTTCGCTTTCGTGGGGGGCTCGACGTCCGAGTACGCCCGCTACATGATGCGGGCCGATTTGCCGAAGGACATGTGGACGTTCGAGGACCCCGACGACGTCCAGGCCTACTGCGGGTTCAGTTGTGTGCCCAAGAAGGACCCCACCAAGCAGCGGAAGGTCCTGATGATGTGTGCCAGCAACTACGTGTGGGCCGACCCCCACCAGCGCGGAGACCACGGAATGCACGGCGGAGCGGCCATCGCCTCCATGTGCGCCCCGACGGACGAGTCGGGCGTAGCCGCGTTCGACGAGGACAACGCCTTCACCCGCCTCCGCGTCCCCGCTTGGATGGCCAAGTGGCAGGCTTGCCCGCCGATCCGCGCCTGCTGGGTGCGGGGGAAACTCAGCCAGCGTTTGCGCGACATGGTGGGGCCGACGGGCTGGATAGCCCCCTGCTACCACCGCCTGGCCATGGGCGGCTCGCACTCCGTGCGCCTGCTCATGACGGTCAACATGGCGATCATCGGCAGGGCGCTGCTGGGCGTGGGCGCTCGCTTGGGGGCGCTCGCGGGCGCCGCGGCGCCCGCCGAGGGCGGGGCCAGCGGTGCGCCGCGCGCCTCGCCGCCCGAGGACGGGGGGCTGGAGGCGGACGGCCGGGGGGATGCCGGACCTGAGGACGCTCAGCAGCATCGCTACGACGACGACTGGCTCGGGCAGCAGTCCAGCTGCCGTGCCGCGCCGCCTAGCCCGTCGGGCTACAGCGTGGCGGAGTGGCTAGAGGCGGTGAGGCGGGCGAAGCGGGACGACGAGCGGGTGATGGTGGTGATGCATCTCTTTGCTGGCCGTCGGCGGCGTGGCGACGTTCAGGAGGTGGTAGAGAGGTTGGCGATGGAGCGGGGCCTGAGGGTGCTCTTTCTTTCTGCCGATCTCCTTGACGACCCGCGGTGGGACCTGGCCAGCCCTCCCACCTTCTCCGCTTTGATGGAGCTGTGCGAAGGCGGCTGGGTGGACGTCGTGCTGGGCGGCCCGCCCTGTTCGACCTGGTCGCGGGCTCGCTACAATCGTCGCCGACCAGGACCGCCGCCAGTGCGCTCGCGGCGGTGCCCCTGGGGGCTGCCAGGCCTCAGGACCTGGGAGGCCGCTAGAGTCGCGGAAAGTAACACCCTGACGCTGAACTTGTTGGCACTCTGCGAGGCGTGCGGCCAGAGTGGCGGCGCCTTCCTCATCGAGCACCCGGAGGGCCCAGGGCAGGCGCCCTACCCATCCATTTGGAACACGACGGAGATGCAGGACTTCGAGACGAGGCGCTCGTCTCAGAGAGCGTGCCTGGACCAGTGCATGCTGGGCGGACGGACGAAGAAGCCCACGTGCCTGAGCGGCGCGCTGCAGGGACTGAAGGACCTGGATGAGCTGCGGTGTGACGGGTCCCATGCCCACGAGGCGGCCGAGGGCAAGTTGGCCGACGGCACCTTCCGCACGAGCCCGCTGGCCCAGTACCCCGAGGGGATGTGCGAGGCGCTGGGCGCCCTGATTGTCCAGGCCCTGGCCATCTTCGAGCAGACCGGTCTGGGCGGCGCCGGGTGGCGAAGGCCGCCGGAGGCCGACAGGTCGGTCACCGCCTGGAGCTCGCGGAGCACTACGGCACTAGCGGTGGCCGTGCGGAACGAGGGCGTGCTTCGCGGCCGTGGGCTGGTGCTGGACGGGCCGCAGATGGCCTTCTACCTGCGCGTCGACGACGGGGTGGTGATGGCCAGTGGCAGCGGCTGTGGCCCACGGGCCACAGGGAAGATGCACCAGCTCGCGGATGCCCTGGCCGAGGCCGGCTTCGTGGTCACCGACCGCACGGAGGCTAACGACATGCAGAAGGTGCTGGGCTACGCACCACAGGCGCGCCCAGCGCAGCTGCGCTTGCCCCCGAAGAGGGCGCGGGAGCTGGTGCGGCAGCTGGAGGAGATGGGCGCCACCCGCACCCTCCACACCGAGGAGCTGCGCTCGCTCTTGGGGGTGTGGATCTGGGGCGCTCTGCTACGGAGGGAGCTGCTATGCATACCCAGCGCCGTCTTCAGGCTCCTGGAGAGGCACCCGCGCCAGCGGGTGTGTACCTGGGCGACCGTCCGCAGGGAACTGCGAGCTATGGCGCAGGTAGTCCCGTTGATGTACGCCGACCTGGGAGCCCCGCCAGCCCCCGTGTATTTCGCGGCGGACGCCATGGGCGCCAACGTGGAGGACGACGGCGGCTGGGGCATTCTGGTGACCGACATGAGCGAGGACATCGCGAAGGACTTCATCGACACGGGCGGCAACTTGGGCTACACCGTGGCGCGGCTGGACGGCGAGCTCACTGGACTGCGACGGCCCGAGCAGGTCATCCGACGGACGAAGCCCTTCAGCCTCCTGCCGGATCGCGTGTTCAAGCCCGACGAGGACTGGACGATCGTGGGCGCGGGGAGGTGGCGGACGGCCGACCACATCACGCTGGGCGAGGGGCGCTGCGTCGTGAAGATCAGTAGACTGGCGGCCGCCACTCCGGCCCTCCACCGCACCGTGCTGCCGATCCTGGAGGACAACCAGCCAGTCTCAGGCGCGGTATGCAAGGGCAGGTCCCCGGCGCACCATCTGAACCACCTGTTGCGTCAGAAGACCGCAGCAGGGTTAGCATCTCGCACAAAGATTTTGATTCCATGGGTGGAGACGCTCAGGCAGCCTGCTGATAAGATATCGAGGTGCCTGACTCGTGCTGAGCTCCGCGGCCTACCTCATGTCGGGGCCGAGGAAGCTGGACAGCACTTCTGCTGAGAAGGTTAAGCCGCACACCCTGGCGGCTTACAGGGCAGCGGCTATGAAGTTCGTGACCTACCTGGACGAGCACGGCTTCGTCCCCGACGGGCCCGAGCAGTGGGACGACCTGCTTGTCGAGTACAAGAACGACATGCAGATGACCAAGTGCAATTTCGAGTACGCCGTCGCGGCGGTGGAGTTTGTCTTCCCACGCCTGAGAAGGAGGCTGACGTGGTCCCACTCGGTGATCGATGCATGGCGAGTTTCGGCAGAGGTGAAGCATGCGCCGCCGCTCGGCCGCGCGCCAGCTAACCTGGCCGCAATCTATTTCTCCTGCTGGGGAGTACCGCGGCTGGGCGTAGGCCTGCTGCTGCAGGTGGATCGCGGCCTGCGCCCGTCGGAGATGCTTCAGCTGCGAGCAAAAGACATATCCTTGCCATCGTCTAGAGGGGGGCCGGATTTGCAGCCAAATTGGGTCATCAACCTGGGGGCCAAGTCGGGCACAAAGGCCAAAAGAATGCAGTTCGCCATTATTTTGGAGAAGGGCGGAGTACTGGAGAACCTCCTACACCGAGTGGTCTTGGGAACGCCGCCCGAGGGGCTCCTCTTTCCCTATTCGCTCGTCGACTACAGGCTTCGGCTCAAGCAGTTTGAAGCAGCCTTGGGCCTCGACATCCACTGGGCGCCTCGCTCGGCGCGCGCAGGGTTCGCCAGCGATTCCGTGGCTCGTGGTGTCCCCTTCCAGGACATCAAGGAGGCAGGACGGTGGCTCACGGAGTCCAGCCTCCGCATCTACGTGGACGTTGTCACCGCCTCCAGGGTCCTGGCTCAGGCTGAGCAGCGAGGAATCGCACCGCTCATCCGCGAGGCGGCCGAGAAGCTGCCCAACTACTTCCCGGAGGGCATCTTCGGCGAGGGTCAGAGCATCCAGCATGCCGCCAGCGGGCTGGCGCAAGGGCCAGGACGGCTCCTGGGTGCTGCCTGCGGAGGGAGCCCCTCCAGCGCCGCTGGCGGGGGGCCGCCGGGTGGCCTCGCCAGCGCCCCGAGCGGCGCTAGCCCAGCCGCCTGCGCCAGCACTAGGCGCACTGGTGGATGGGCTGCTGGCGGGTCCGCAGCAGCCGGGGGATGCAGCAGCGGGCGCGGGCGCGGCCGAGGCCGAGGCGCCAGCGCCAGCGGCCCCTGGCGTGGCAGCACTGGGGCCCCCGCAGCCGCTGGTGGCGCAGCCGCTGGCAGGGGGCGCGGCCGCGGGGGCGAGACGCGCGCGCTGGAGCAAGTGGTCGCTGCTACGCGCGGCCTGGCTCATCGCAAGGTGGTGCGGCCGCTCAACCTCGCGAGGAGTGACGTGGGCGGCGGTCGCCGCGATGCTGATCGGGTGGCGCTACATGGCCGGGCCGCTGACCCACGTCGGGACCATGATGGGCGTCGTGGCCAGCGTATCAGTCTCGGCAGGCAAGGTGGTCGACAGCAGCCTTGGGGCAGTCATCACGGCGGCACAAGGCGTGTCAGACTTCGCCGTGACGTCGTCCCGCAGCTCGGCGAGCCTCCTGCAGGAGGCCTGGCGCGGAGTGGACATCACCAACCTTCACGTCCGCCAGCGCCGCGCCGAGCGGCTCGCGGACGACCCCGAGATCTTGCAGGCCTGGATCCAGCGCGAGTTCCTGACAGGCGAGCCCCGACCGCCTGGAGCCGAGCAGGTCGCCACCGCGATCGCTGAGGCTTCGGTTACCATACCTCACATGTCGGAGAGATGGCAGATAATGATCTGGCCCAGTCAATACCGCGAGCTGCACATGACACTCGACCTGCTGCCGTCGGGTTTCTACGGAGTCCATATGGTCGAGCGAATCGTGAATTTCACGGTCCAGTGGAGCAACCCAGTGTGGAGTAGCCTCGACTGTGACATCAGCTCGGAGAGGGATACAGTCGTGGCTCACATCAACTCCACTTTGGCAGGGCTCCCGCTCCCCGAGATCCGCTACATGTCCATGACTGATCGTGAAATCCAAGTCGCCAGGCTCCCAGGTGCCTGGATCAATATTGCCCGTAGGTTCGTGCGTGCTGTATATATGGCAGTGAAGAGTGTTTTGCAGCTCGTTTTGTTCGGAATCTAGGGTGGTCACCGAAGATATGATTTTTCTGGAGCACACTGCGAGGGCGGGCCTGGGGGCTTGCTTTAGGTTTTGTTTGTGTTCCAGGTTCCTTCCCAACTCATCAAGGTCCGCGCACATGCCTAGCAGCAATTTTATTGTACTTCTCGCCTCCCCAGCAAAACATTCCAAGGGTGGGTCGAAACGGACACCATCATGGGATAATAATCGTAGAGCATGAGTGTTGATGTGCACCGACAGTTTGGGGTGGGATCGTGGAATTTTCCTAGGAGCCTCGGAGCCCGCAGGGGCGTGCCAGCTTGTGGGGGGGCCTTTTCGCCGGTGGGCCACGTTCCCGGCCTGGCTCCCCTCGGCCCTCCAAAACGGGTGGGCTCGGTAGGTTTGGTTTTGGTTGCCCGTGAAGGCCCCCTGCCCTCGCGTGTGCTGCACGGCCTGCTCCGCAACCGTTTCATGTGGCTCCAATCTGGTACAGATTATCGCGACCCCCCCACCGTCCCCCGCCGAGCCAAAGCTCGGCGGCAAACTTGAAGTTAGCAAGCCTAGCAGCAATTTTATTGTATCACTCGCCTCCCCAGCAAAACATTCCAAGGGTGGGTCGAAACGGACACCATCATGATGGTGATTATGATGATGCTGATGATGATGGATGATGCTGCTGATGATGATGGTGATGCTGCTGATGATGATGCTGATGCTGATGATGCTGATGACGATGATGCTGCTGATGATGATGATGATTGTGATGATGATGATGCTGATGATGATGGTGATGATGATGCTGATGATGATGCTGATGATGCTGATGATGATGCTGATGCTGATGATGCTGATGATGCTGATGATGATGCTGATGCTGATGCTGCTGATGATGATGCTGATGATGATGATGCTGATGATGATGATGACGATGACGATGACGACGATGATGATGATGACGATGATGATGATGATGCTGATGATGATGATGATGATTATGCTGTTGATGATGATGCTGCTGCTGATGATGCTGCTGATGATGATGATGATGCTGATGATGCTGATGATGCTGATGATGATGATGCTGATGATGATGATGCTGATACTGCTGATGATGATGATGATGATGATGATGATGTTGATGATGATGCTGACGCTGACGCTGATGCTACTGATGATGATGCTGATGCTGCTGATGATGATGATGA